CCCCCTCCAGGTGCCGCCCCAAGCACAAGCTTGGTGGGCTGGTGCCTGGAGCCGGCCCTGTCCCCAATGCAGACAGTCCCAGTAAAACTAGATGACATTCCCGGGTCAATCCACCCCGCTCCCTACTGCGTCACACAACTCTGCCATGACACAGACTTTAAACCATATTTTCAGGATCTAGACACACCCCCTTCCACAGGATCCGTACATATATTTCACAACAATATTAATTTCCACTGTGACCCCAGTTTTCATTTAAGACCGCACAGGTCATTCTTTGGTGAAACAGAATGTACTTACAAGAATCAGGACATTCCTGTAACCCCCTTGCCACCTGGCATCCTGGGGTTCTTGCATCACAGAAACAAACCAAAGTAACTGCTGGGAAGATCAACAGAACTCCGCCCACCCCCCCCCCCCCAAAAAAACCCTTCTCCAGAGGAAACAAAGGAGGGGACCAATTCCACCTCCACATCGCAGCTGAACACTCAAAGAAAATGGGAGCTCCAGCCAGGGGTGAGTCATGCTGGGCAGGAAGCCACAAGGATATTACACCTGCTAACCTGGGTAAAACAAGGCAGAACAAACCCAAATAACTGCCCAGGAGATAAATCAATCAAATGTCCTCCCAGTCCTTGGTCAGGAGCAAGGACCCGCTAGCTGAAGCCCAGGCACAGTAATGAGCACAGCTGGGCCCCATTTGAGCTGCCTGATGGGCCAAGCCACCAGGGGCTGAGGGGCTTAGCAGACCTGCTGTGGCTGTTCAGTGTATTTGCCCATGGCTGTGGTAGCTCCTGCTTATCCCCAGCCTTACTCCTGCCTTGCCCTTTCCTTGCCTCAATCCAGGTAACTGCTTCTAGCCCTCACCTCCCATTCCTGACTTCAGCTGTAACCCTGGGTTCTGGCATCCAGCCTCAGATTCCAGTTCTGACCCTTGGCTGCAGGTTCCTGATCCTGGCTGTGACCCATGGCTCTGACCATTAGGACTGACTCCTGCTATGACCACTAGACATGACCACCCATGTCCTGGTCCCCAACACCCTTTCCCAGAGGAGAGGGAGGAGGGGATCAGTTTTGCCTCCCCTTCCTATCAGAGTATGGAAGAGGGGAGGGGATACACAGTCAGACAGACCCCTGTGTGATGTCTGCCATAAGGGAATAAAAACGGAGCCACTTTATCAGATTCATCACGAGTGGTCATCTTTACAGATTTCGCTTCCTCAGAGCCCTGGAGAATAGGCAGAGGCAGGAAGTGGTTTTTCCTCTCCCTGCCCCTCACCT